TCCTTCTCTGTGTTCTTCTGAACCTCCCCAAGTCTCTACAATTAACAAATGTTAAAAATGAGAGGAAAGGTTTTTTCAGGCTTTTTTCTCAGAAAACAATGTTCTTGATTGAGTCCTGGTACATACAAAACTTGTGACCGTGATAATGATAATAGCTAATACTTCTCAGCATTTTTTATGGGCCAAACACTATGGTTAAGTACATTACATAAATGCTCATTGAGTCCTCGCACTCTATGATGTAGGCATTGTTCTCACATTCATTTTGTAGATGAAAAAGTTCAAGTTGTTCATGGGAAGTCACAAAGCTGCTAAGTGGTAGAGCCCAAGATGCGAACCCCGAACCCTGGGGATCTGACTCCAGAAATCCCTCTCTCCTGTGGCCACAAGATTTCCTGTCTCCAGCCACACTGCTTCTCAGAAACCTAACTTTTCTGTTCTTGATTTTTATGTCTTCTGTGCTTTTTCGATTCTTATCCCTTGGGGAAGGGATAGAAATAGGCAATATATGCAATTCTCACACGAGGTGAAAGGCATCCACTCTGTGTGGTATCTCTGCTTCAAACACACACACCTGCCCCAAGGAGACGTGGGAACATGCCCAACTGGAGACTAGGCAAGCCTACCCCCATCATCAGCTCTCGCAGCACCACAAACCTCTGCTTCCTGCCCTGTTACAGTTGTGCTTTACACTTACTTGTTACTTGATTGCTTACTACCTGCCAGGCACTATTCTGGGCACGTTACATGTGCTCTTTTTCTTTTCACCATTTTACACATAAGGAAACCCAGGCCTAGAGAAGTTAAGAAACTTGCCCAAGGTCACAGAGCTAGGAAGTGATGGAACCGGGTTTGATCTCTGGCTTAGAGGCATCACTCTCGAATGAATGAATGAAAGTATACTATTTTCTTTTTTTTTTTAAGATTTTTATTTATTTATTCATGAGAGACACACAGAGAGAGGCAGAGACACAGGCAGAGAGAGACACAGGCTCCCTTTGGGGAGCACGATGCGGGACTTGATCCCAAGATCCTGGGACAATGCCCTGAGCCAAAGGCAGATGCTCAACTGCTGAGCCACCCAGGCGTCTCTACTCTCCATTTTCTAAAAAAAACTTTCGATCTCTTATTAGGACTGCTTAATTTTATTTCTGTAGGGCATGAATATTTCTCATACATCATTTCTAATATTTTAATATTTCTAATAATATTTCTAATATTTTAATATTTATAATATTTCTCATATATCGTATTTCTAATATTTTGATTTTATTATTATAAATGGAAATTTTAAATTATATTTTCTAATTGGTTATTTGCGATATCAAGATTTACATGTTTGTAACTTTGTAAACTTTTCATCATTTTATCTTATCATGATGCATGTACTCTTTAATCCCCATCCTCTATTTTCCCCCTCCCCCACCTACCTTCCCTCTGGTAACTATCAGTTTGTTCTCTATTGTTTTTTTTGGTTTTGGTTTTGTTTTTTAAAGATTTATCTATTCATGAGAGACACAGAGAGGGAGGCAGAGACACAGGCAGAGGGAGAAGCCTGCAGGACTCGACCCCAGGACTCCAGGATCACTCCGTGGGCCAAAGGTAAACTGCTGAGCCACCCAGGGATCCCCTTGTTCTCTATTGTTAAGAGTCTGTTTCTTGGTTTGTCTCTCTCTCCTTTTTTGTTTCCTTTGCCTGTTTGTTTTGTTTCTTAAATTCCACAAATGACTGAGATCATATTTGAGATTGTATTTGTCTTTCTCTGACTTATTTCACTAACCATAATACTCCCTAGCTCTGTCAATGGTATTTCAAATGGCAAGATTTCATTCTTTTCTATGGCTGAGTAATATTCATATATATATATATATATATATGTTTGTATACACACATATATATACATCTCATATCTTCTTTATCCATTCATTTATCAATGGACACTTGGGCTGCTTCCATAGTTTAGCTATTGTAAATAATGTTGCAATAAACATAAGGGTGCATGTAAACATGTATCTCTTTGAGCTGATGGTTTTGTATTTTGGGGGTAAACACCCAATAGTGCCATTCCTGGACCCTAGGGTAGTATATTATTAACTTTTTGAGGAACCTCCATACAGATTTCCACAATGGCTGCACCAGTTTGCATTCCCACCAAAGAGGGTTCCCCTTTCTCTACATCCTCACCAACGACTGTTGTTTCCTGTGTTTTTGAGGAGGTAATATCTCATTGTGGTTTTGATTTGCATTTCCCTGATGATGAATGACACTGAGCATCTTTTCATGTGTCTGGTGGCCATCTGGATGTCTATAATTTTGTAAACTTACTGAACTGTCTCATTAACTGTAATTTTGATTCCCTAGTATTTTAGCTATATAATTCCATAAATTTCTATAAATAATTTTGTCTCCTCCTTTCCAACATTAAGATATCATCTTTTTCAATTAATTTTTTTGTTTAAATTTAATTTTTTTATTTTAATTTAATCACAATTTTTTAAACTATATCTATAGATATGTACTATTTTCAGTATCTCTTTACCACTTGCCCACTCAGGCCTAAGCCATCTGCTATGACACCAACAGAGCCACTTTTCTAAATCACAAATATGGTTCTTTCTCTCTAATACTCAGAAGTCTGCACCACCTCCATGTTTTCTGTATGATAAAGTCTCTCAGCATAATTACTACCTTTGATAATATGGCCCCAAACTACGTTTTAACCTTCATTTTGACCACGATTCCAAAATGCCCCTCACTCATAACTCCTTTTCTTATGATTTGCCCAGACGGTTCCTCCTTATTTTCTTCCATGGGACAACTGTTTACCTTCTGAGGCCACATGACTGCCGCCTCTTCTCTGGCCCTCCCAAGCTCTCCACCCCATCTCACCCCTGCTCCTGCCATGTCTCCAGAGCACCAAGCACAGATCTCTGTCAGGGAACCTGTCACAGCCCAACCTAAACATGGGTACTCATTTAGAGCAGAGGTTAGCAAACTTCTATGGAGCTTCGGATGATAAATATTTTAGGCTTTCTGGGCCACATTTGATCTCTGTTGCATTTTTTCCCTTACATTTTAATAATGTAAAAATGATTCTTAGCTCATAGGCTATAAAACAAACAAACAGGCCACATCTCTGATGTTCAGCCAAAGAGCCTCTCCCTCCCCAACGGCAACAAAAGTGCTTCTCCTATGAGAGCCTAGAGTGTTCTCCAGGCCCGCCCATGGAAGAGAACTCCAGCAAACTCCTGCTTTTCAAGTAGCCAAATCAATGTCTCATATCTCAGGAAACCATCTAGACTTGATGGTGTTTGGAATACTTGCCAGGTATCCAACCTAGCTACTGACGATAGATCTATCTCCCATCTCGCCGTAACTGGGGAAGAAGCATTTTGCTAAGTCATTAAGTGTCAGAGAAACGGGGGCAGTTATCATTGTTCTTTTCGCCGTCCCCCTGCTCCCTGGTTCTGCCAACCAGAAGTGCTCCAGAAAAGTGATCACCCCTCCCTGGTTAAGGAACCAACACTATGAAGTTTTTAGAAAAGATCAGCACTTTACTGGCATAATCTCTGGCTTAACTTTGAGGACTCAGTATCTGGCTTGCCAGGGCTCCCCACAGTGTGAGCTAGAAAGGAAGCTGGGAGCAGATAAGCTGCTCCCTAAGGAGGAAATGGCCCACGTTCTGTGAGGCTGCGAGTCCAGTACTGTTTCCATGGGAACAAAGTGAACTTGAAGCTAATTCTACTCACACCTCCTTCAGGCAAGCCCTTTGGGGCCTAGAAAGGCAGAGCACCAGAAGGTCTGGATAGCATCAACCCCATCCCCACAAACCAAAGCTGGCCAGGAGCTGGATCTGCTGTTGGGATCTCCACCGGCAGGCCAGGGCTCAGGGGAGGACACCAGGTCCAGTAAGCATCTGGAGTCCAGTACAGGGAAGGAGCCAGTCAGAGTGAGTCACCCTGCAAGGGGCGGGTCCTACCTAGCACAGCCCCCAGTTCCTGGAGCACCACATGGGTTTCAACAAAACAAACCCCAAACCCCACTCCCCAGAGGAGGTGAAGAATACAATATGCTCTAGAATGGAAATGAGGGTGCCAAAAGATAGCAAAAGCCCACCTTCCCCAGGTGAAATACGCGGTCCCAAGGGGCCAGGTCACATGACTAGTCTCAGAGAGGGCTTGGCTCCCTGCACATTAGTTGTCCCCAAGAGAAACCATCATTTCACACACAGAAGCTCCTAAATTCAAGTGATGTGTTTCTGAACTGACAACTAATAGCTAAGACTTGAGCTCTGACCAGCACAGAGTCACATCAGCCCGGCCACCTCTAGCCAACAAGGTGAGCAAGGACACCTAACTCCACTCTCGGTAGCCTTGCCCACCCGGACATAGGCTGCTCCGGGCTTCTCTTTGAGGGGCTTCCCAAGCACAGCTAAACCTACCATGGGCAATAAATACAAAATCAGAAGACTCACAACATGCTAGCAAGAAGATGACTAAGATTACCAATGGAAACGTAGGGGTGAGGGATGCCAACGTGGCACGTGTGCCCGGAATGGGTCAGAACCAGCACTGCCAGCCTTTCTAGCAGCTCGACGTCCATGGATACACAATCAACTCTGCAAGCAGATGTGTTACCAAGCAGCCCTTTCACCCTGGCCTGTGTATAAACAGAAGAACTTCCTTGCTCAGAATCACCCTTGGCTCACAACACATTCCGAGTGGCCAGCAGCACTTCCAGCCAGGCAGTCAGGCCGCACCCCGTCCTACGTTCTCCTGGCGTGGGCCTCGACACACTAGACTGCCTGGCACTAGTGATCAAGAGGAGAGATGCTTGCTCCTGAAAATAGGGGATTTGGTTAAATGGTGGGACTGCGACCTACGTGTGCAAGCAAAGAAACCAACCCAAATGAAACTTTAAATCAGTCAACTAATATTGCTTTACTAATCATGCAAAAAAGTAAGGATATAAAATATAGAATAGAAGGTGTGGTACATTACCCAAAAGCCCTGCCAAGGACCGCATGTCCTTCTCCATCAGCATGTAAATCTCTTCCTCTGAGAAGCGGCCAATGCCGTGGCCGTGCATCTCGCGTTTCACAATTCCTTTCGTTATGTGGCACACGACCCACCTCAGCAGGTTACTGAAGGGACCGCCACCACTAAGAGAGAGCATCTTCCGGGTCTCATTGAGATTGTCCACCCACTGGCAATAAGCTAACGTCCTGGAATTGTGTGGAAACAGGTTACTACTGGGCATTAGATACACGTCCGCTCCACAGAGTCCATTTCCAGTGAGTGTGTCAGGAGGGAGCACACTCTGGAGGAAATGAGCCAGAGCAGCTTTCACAAAGAGCAGTCTGCATGGCACATGTTACAACAGTTTCTGGTCAATGCCTAGGCTTCAGGTCTGCAAGAGAAACTAAAACAAATCCAGATAACGATGCCATGCTACAATTCCACCAACCTCTCCTGGCACCCACCCTCAGATCCACGCCCCCACCCCCCCACCTCCCCAAGGCCGCACTCCTGCTTCCGCCTAGGCAACCCCACGGAAAACAGTAGAAACCCACTTCAAAAGGTTTTTAGGCAGAACAGTGCATACCTATGGGGACAAGAGGAAGGAGGCACAGTGACTGCAGTGCTGGCTTCCTTGTCTTTTTTGATGTAAGTCATGGTTATGCAGGTATATGCTCTGTGTTAAGTAAAAGTAAGCTGCATTTTTTTTATTTTGGACAATTAGTGAATGTGGGGTTTTTTTAATGCATTTTATATTTTACAACATCAAAGAGCTTTTTCAAAAGGTTTTTGCCTTTTTGACAGAGGAGTAGGGAGGAGATATACTTGTCTGTGTTTAGTATAAACTACACAAATTGTAAATATTATGTATATTATTTGCTCTCCAGAAAGTCTGGAGAACTGTTTCAGTTTGTTCTCCAGAACTCTAAAGTGAACACAAATACGGAAGGAACTCAGTTGAGTCATTTTTCCCATCTGGGTGGTGCTTGCGGCAAACTCTCCCGGTGTTCCCATGGGACATGCACAGATAGCTCAGCAGCTCTTCCCTGTTTGCGTGGTATGCTGGCTACAGAACCCGGGCCTTGACTGATGTTGGTCTCTGAACCTGTGCAATTGCAGGAATGTTTCTATGGCTAATAGTGTTGGTAGACAGAAGTTAAAAGGGTTTTCTCCTGAAGGCTGAGAAAAACGTAGCTGTAGGAGTGCCCACATAAGATATTTTAGTTTTTCCCCATAATGAGCAATAAAAGATGTACTGACAGTCATCTCTCCTCCTAGTGTTGGTCGATATAGCAATAATGGCCATTTTGAAAAAATCAGAAGAGTGAAAAACATTTTTACAGAGAGAACACAAGAAATTACAATACATTATAACTACTTTTCCACCTCAATTTTTTAAAGAAAAAAAAAGTCCCTGAAATGTTGATCATCTTATACAGTTTTATTCTTTCCAGTGTTCGTTCTTCTACAAAAAAGAAAATAAAAAACAGATTTCCCTAAAAATTTTTAAGCATTCCTGATTTTTACTGAGAAGTCCTACAACCAATTTCAACATAACTCTCTGTACTGTACCCATTACTCTTATTATTTTTTAAAATAATGCCTACAAATATTGTTAGAGAGCTTTATACTTGTTTTTTTATAAATCTCTCAAAATAAAGTCTTGAGTCAAGAAATGGATTTTGCTGAAAATAGGAAAAAGTACATTGCAGTGGTAACTAATACATACAGAGAAGTCAATGGATCTTTTGATATAAAAGATCTCACATTTACTCTAGTAAATTCTTTGTAAACATGCAAACTAAATACTTTCCTGTTTGTTCTTCTTTCTATACCTGTAGTAATTAAAGTATCAATTTTCATATTCTATTAAAATAATTCAGCTCTTTGATTCTAATTGTACTAGACTGAAAGGCACACAGAAAAGAGCTATCCCATCCTTGATTATTCTGCAAGTCCATGAACTGAGAATAAAACTAAATTATCCCAAAATAAGCATAGCTAGGTCATAATAGCATTTAGGAAGCACCAAAAGAGTAAAAATGAGGAATGTGGTGGCTCCAAACTGACAGGTTGATGTGAAAAATATATATGTATTCTTCGTAGATGGATTACACAGATTTTATCATAAACATAACTGATCCCAAAGGATGAGCAGAAGCTCACCAGGCAGAGCAGAAGAGGAATGGTATGCATGAGGAGCACTGGCTGGGGTGGGTACAGGATGCCTTGGGAAGCAGCTAAGAGTAAAGGCTGGAAGGGTGGGCCAGGACCAGATCTGGATGGGCCTGAGACAAAGGGTGGTGCGCTTTAACCACTGAAAAGTGATAAGCGGTCAAGAAACATAATCAGGTTTGTGGCAATATGAAGGAAGGGCTGCACATGGAGAAAGCACTGGGAGGAAGGCTGCTTGGAAGACTATGGCAAGACCTAAGAACAAGGGCAATAGTAGAGGTGGTGGGAGCGTGTGCAGGGAATGCAGAGGAGAAACTCTGGAATATGAGAAAGAGTCTCCTGATCAATGGATTAGGTATAAGGAGAGATTAGATATTTTCTCTCAGGCTGATGACTTGAGTGGATGATAATGCCATTAACCAATAAGGGCAGACACACAGATTTAGATGATGAAAGACACATCAAACGGTTTCATTTGAGGATCCCATGGAACCCCCAAGTGAGAATTTCCAGAGGTTGAGGACTCAGGAGATAGGTTTAGACTCAAGATAGAGAATTTGTGGGTGAGGGTTTGTCAGTGTGAGTGCTAAAGCTGTCAGAGGAGAAGGGTCACATTACCTAAGGAAGTTTCTAGGGTTAAGGTGTGGTGTTAGGTATAAGGCTTACACAAGTCAAGGGCAAGTTAGAAGGTGAGAAGGCAAGGCTGGAAGGGCCAGCATAGAGAGAAATAGAGACACCCCTTGCTCTGAAGAAGAGAGGTGGAGAATGTTGCAAGAGAAGGGGCTGCAGAGAGGTTCAGAATTCTTGCCTAGTGACTCCATTTTCCACCATCAAGCAGGAAATGCGCACAGGATGAGAATGCAGTGATGGAGAGAGCTTTGCACAACTGATGAATTCAAGTAGCAGATGGGGATGGAAGAGGTAGCTGTTCTGGGCCACACAGCTAAGCTGGAGGAGACCCCACCAATACAATGGTGTAAGGTTCTCTACCTGCATTAGTGGGTTGAATGGAGGGCACAGAAGGAGGAACACTAGGTTGATCTGGAATTTTGTAGCTAGAGGTAACCTAAGAAACTGTGGTCTTCCTCTCTTCTCTTTGCCACCCTGCTCTTGACTTCTTCCCTCTTTCATTCCTTGTGCCTAATCCTGAGCCCAGTGTCAGGGAAGAGAAGCAAATGAGGGCCAGGCAGGCTGTGTAAGAGTCAACCCCTATGAAGTGGGTACAAACTTTAAATACCAAAGAAAACAAGTAATTCATGGGATCCTAAATCAATCACTACAGGCAGCAAACCTCATTTACACACACTTCCATATTCTCACAACCAAGAACCCACCTCCTTCCATGACCAAGCTTCCAGCAAACTATTCGCACTTGACCAAAACTATTCTCATCCAAATCAATGACACCTCCTTGTTGCAAAATCCAAATAAACATTCCTTATTTTTTGTTTTCAAGTAGGCTCCATGCTGGGCATGGAGCCCAACGTGGGGCTTGAACCCATGACCCTGAGATCAAGACCTGAGCTGAGATCAAGAGTCAGACACTTAACTGAATGAGCCATCCCAGTGCCCATAAACCTTCCTTGTTTATTTATCTTTCTTGAACTCTCCTCAACGTGTAACGCTGTTGGTATCTCTTGTAGAAGAGCTCTCCCCTGGCTTACTCTCTAAAGCTCTCTACTGCTTTTCCTGCATGTTCATGCAAGTTCCCAAGATTTTCATCACTATTCTTCCTACTTCTTACTCCACCGTCATGGCATGATCTAATTCACACCCATGATTTCAAAGTGATGACTCCCAAACCCATACCCAGCCCAGACCCTTGTCCTGACACCCAGGGATCTCTGTGAGGGGTCCTTGGGAACTGCAAAGCCTATATCCAAAACTGGACTCAATGATCTTCCTTTCCTTTGAGTCTGTCTCTCCTCACCCAAGCCCCAAAGAATCCCAGGATGTGTTCTTTGCTGCTCTCTATCCCTCACTCCTGACAAGCCAGTCACCCTGTGAATCTGCCCTTTTCTCTAACTCAATTAGCTTGTAGCTCAGGCCTCCATCATTTCTCAACCCCTGAGCACAGCGGTCTCGTAGCAGGTCTCCTGACATCCCGTCCATGCCCTTCAGCAAGCCATTTGTCCCAAGGCAGCCGCTAAGATCTCCTAAAACACAAATCTAATCCCATCAGGCTGCTCCTCAGTCAGAGTCCTTCATTAACTCCCCATAGCCCCTTAGCTTGGCACGCAGCCCTCCTACAGTCTCACCCAGGCACGGCTGGCCCCTGGCCCCATCCCCCTGCACTGCCTCCTGTGTACCTGCCACACAGAACCACGTGTGTCTCCCCAGGGTCCTCTGTCTCGTGTATAAACTTTGGCAGATGCTGTTCCCTCTGCCTAGATATCCTAATCCCCTGCCACCCAGCCCCTTTCACCCAGCCCTGACAGTCCCCAGCTTCTGTTGGGGTACCATCTCCTCTGGGAAAGCCTTTCCCCCATCACTCTAGCAGGTGCTGGCTGCCTTTCCTCAGGTCTTCAAACTCTTCCCCCAGCACCCACCATTATGATGGGTCAATGTCTCCCTCAGCCTGTGAGTCACCTGAGGACGGAGACAGTGTCTTGCTTCCCCCCATCCAGCATGGAGTATGGCCACTAAGAGTCATTCATTAAGTTTACTGAAAGAATGAATTATTGACTGAATGGTAAAAAAGCTTTACTCCTGAGCCAGCTACTGCTAAGTAGTGTTTCTAAGGGCTGACAATATTTAAATAGGACGAAGGAAAAACAGAAATGCCTTTGAAGAATGAAGAAGGGGCTGACTGTTCTCTTCTGAGACCCACATCACTCTCTACTGGGAAGAGGCCCACTCCATGAGGAGTCGTGAATCATCAACTGGCAAGGGCAGGGAGGGCCAGTTTGGAAACTAGACTAAGCTGAACAATTAATTCATCATTCTGAGAACCTCTTTCAGAAAGCTGATTCTCATTTCCTTTATCACAAATGATGTGCTGGATCTCTTCTGCAAAACATGGTCAAGGTTTCTCTTAAAAATTGATTATCCTAGTCAGAACAGAAGAATAAATACTGTTCAACATTTTTAAAGGAGATCAAGAGTACAGGAAAGAAGCGCTGACCCCTGACGTTTCAATGAAGATCTCTCTTGTTATAACCTAACATGAGGCCTGGCCCATAGCAAAGAGATGATGCTAACATGTGGAAAACTGCAACCCACGGAATCTACTGTTTGATGACTGAGTCTCAGCATGTGGCCTTCCTGACCACAGATGCCTTTCTCCATATCCCGCTACATCCTGTCATCTTTCGGTTGTCTTCTAAATGCATGGGGGTGCAAGAGCGTATGATAAGCTTCTATGATTCCACCGAGTTGCACAGCCCCTAGACTAACCCTTCCAAGCAGGACCTTTCACTACATCTGAAATCAGGGGGCAGGGGGAACAGGGAAGAGGGGATCACATTAATCTAGTTTTAATCATGGAGAGAGACTCCAGGCTTTTAGACAAGATTTTGGGTAAGTCATCTTAGTAAGGACTCCACCTCCCCCATTCAGTGAAACTATACCAAAAGCCAACCTCAAAATTGAAAAATCATGGCCAGCCTAGATGCAAATATGTTCCAACACCTATATTTTAATGGGTCAAAGTGGTATGACTAGATGGCCTGACCACAGTGCGCTACACACTTCCTTGTGGGGCTACAAGACTCTTGGTGCACTAGTGTGTCATATAGATGAAGCTGTAGTGTCTGTTACCAGAGCTCAATTTCATTCCACTAATTTGACCCCGTGTCTCTCGTATTTCCCTTTATACCAACTTCCATGTGTTGGATCTAACTTAAGCGCTCAGTGGAACAAAGAGGATAGAAACCTGTCTTCTCCATGTTCAATCATAGTTATGCAAGTGGGACATACTGGTATGGATTTCAAGTTCAAGAAAAACTCATTATAGCTAAGTGTGCTTATTTGACCAAACCTGAAACAGAGCCCCAGGATGATGTGATGGTATTTATGTAACAATGCCAGCTTTCCATTGTCTTCGCTTTTCAGAAATATCACACCTGGAGTGTTTTTGCAATTTTGGACCAAAATAAACATGTCTGAAAACTCCAGATAATTCGAATCAATTGATTCAAACAGTGGATTTCATCTCCTCCGCTGTAAACACAGACACAACCTTGGAGCTCAGATTGTTAGAATTTAACAAGCTCTCATGAAAATCTCATCCTTGTAATATTTTCCTATATAGGGTGGTCCATTCCTCATGCTGGCCCCAGTTTCCATGGGTGCACATTCTGTGTGTGGCCTCTGACAAGAAAGTGGGGAGCAGAAGAGGAACCTGACAAGGAGTGTCCATAAACTCTGCCTCAGGCATTTTCTTACTGGAGGGACAGGTGTCTCTTCTCCTTTGGGATTTAGAGCTCTAGGGAATGCCTGTTCAAAGTCTCCCCAAAGCAAGAAGATAGCTAAAGGTTGGGAAACCTTATGAAACAGAAGAAGGTTTGTTTTTCCTTCTGCTGCTAGGGACTGAAGGGAATTGAAGGAATTGGGAATTTTTCTTTGAAAGTTCACTGGAGGGCAGCCCGGTGGCTCAGTGGTTTAGTGCCGCGTTCAATCCAGGACATGACCCTGGAGACCTGGGATCGAGTTCCACATCAGGTTCCCTGCATGGAGCCTGCTTCTCCCTCTGCCTGTGTCTCTGCCTCTGTGTGTGTGTGTGTGTGTGTCTCTCATGAATAAATAAATAAAATCTTTAAAAAAAAAAAAAGAAAGAAAGTTCGCTGGATATTTTTACCTCTATGAAGAAGACCTGACCTCCCACCTTCATTATATTTTCCTCAAAATAACCTTTGAGGAGACACAAATGAGACACAGTAGCTAGCTTCCGCTCTGAATTACAAAATGCAATTAAAAAGTGGATTACAGATACAAAATTATCCTTAGAAAGGTCTATGTACGACCTAAGCAACTCCCCCAAGCACTTGTGTGTTTATGGTCCATAAAATTAAGATTCTTCCACACCAGGATACCACCTCCCAACTCTCCCACTCACTTCCCACCCCCCAATACCTTTCCCTCCACCACCTAGAGCTGCCTCCCATCATGTATTAGCTGGGGCTGTTGCAGGGAGAGAAGGGAAGGGAAAGAGCAGAGGATGAATTTCTACCAGGGAGTAAACATATGAAATGTCTCCACACACTGAGAGCAAAAATCAGGGACAGCTGGTACTTGGGAATCTTGCTGGATCAAAGTCTTTCTAACTGGAATGTACATTTTATGAACCACTACAAAAATCAAGAGTTGTAGCGCAAGTACTAATGAAAATGTAAGGTGACTTTCAGCTTCTTTCCATGCAGCTCACAAAGCAAGAGCTCTCCGCATTAATGGGCCCATCAATCAAACAAGGTAGCACTTTGGAGGGCTGCATCAACAGAAGGCACAGAGGGTCAGGGTGACCCTGTGCTGGTTCTTCATTTCTTTCTATTGCTGCCAAGTAGGGACTAGAACCTCTTAAGAGATGAGATGGGCTCTGTCCCACAGGCTTTTCCCTGAGACTAAGTACATGACATGCAGTCATTCACTTGGCCCATGCTGTAACTCCTGCGCTCTTGAAGATGGGAGCCCCATCAGTTCTCCACAAGTACCATAAAGAAAAGACCTGGGTGCTTTCCAGGAACACAGAGTCTGTGATTACTACCATGCTAATCTGCACCCCTGCCTCTACTCTCTGCTGGGTTCCCTCCTTGCCCCCACCCCCTTCACCTCTACAGTGAGAGGGGGGGAAAGAAGTGGTGCTTCGGATCTGCCCTGGGATAAACGGGGCAAGGACTGCAAGCAGAAAAAGAAAACAGAAATAGAGAGTCGCTTAAAATCCAAGAGAGGGAACAGCAAGTTTTCCATTTAGAAAGAACAAGCAAGTTTCCATGTAGAAAGAGAGCTGAAATGATGAAATAGGAAGGTGATAGGGAAGACCTTCGACAATCAACCCCACACTGAGTGTGGAGGAGGCGAAAGCTACTGGGTGAGCAACTGACCCCTTAATAACAATTAATGCCCAAAAAAGAGGGCTTAACGATTCTTAATTAGCTCTTTGGGACAAGATAAGTGTAGAGAAATCATAGAGAAAACTCATCTACTGGGGTGTATAGAAAGGTGCTAAAACTCCAGGAAATGGATGAAAGACAAAGGAAAATCCCACAAGACGATGAGTTTATAAGCCAAGAAGCCCTGTGCCTGATTAACTCACATGTCACAGCCAGCACAATGGCACATGCAGAATACAGGCAACTCATCCACGCAGTGTGTGAGGCTTCAGACAAGGGATGCAACCTAGGGGTCAGCCAGGCGGGGCAAGAGCACTCAGAAAGCAGAAGTACACTTTACTTCTGGAACACAGAAAAGCTTTTGTCGTCTAAGGAAAACTGACGATAATTTTACAAAGCTTGAATAATTCATTTTACCTAAGGCTTCTATCCTGACTTAGTCTTCTGTTCCCTCCTCTGGGTGTCCGATATAATAGCATTTTAATTCAGCAGTTTGGACTAGTAAAGAGCAGAGTCAGTTGAAATATCCTCTTTAGGGATCCCTGGGTGGCGCAGCGGTTTGGCGCCTGCCTTTGGCCCGGGGCGCGATCCTGGAGACCCAGGATCGAGTCCCACATTGGGCTCCCAGTGCATGGATCCTGCTTCTCCCTCTGCCTGTGTCTCTGCCTCTCTCTCTCTCTCCTCTCTCTCTGTGACTATCATAAATTAAAAAAAAAAAAGAAGTATCCTCTTCACCTCAGTGAGGTGAGGTCTAAATCAGGGGTCAGCAAAACACAGCCCATAGCCTAATAAGTTTTTACATTTTTAAATGGTTGGAGGGGTGCCTAGATGGCTCATTTGGTTAAGGGTCCAACTCTTGGTTTCAGCTCAGGTCACAATCTCAGGGTCATGAGATCGAGCCCCATGCTGGGCTCTGTACTCAGAGTGGAGTCCGCTTGGGATTCTCTGTCCCTCCTTCCCTCTGCCCCTCCCTCCACTCACATGCACTTGTTCTCTCTCTCTCTCTCTCTTTCTCTTTCTCTTTCTCTAAAATAAATTCATTAACTAATTAATTAAAAAATTAAAAATACATTTTTAAATGGCTGGAGAAAAAAAATCAAAAGAATAACTTTTCATATTAAATGAAATTCAAATGTCAGTGTTTTTATTGTTTCATTGAAACAGAGTCATGCTCTTCATTTCCATGTCATCTATGGTTGCTTTTGCAATGGAAGAGTTTAAAGAGTTGCAACAGATCCATGGCCCCACAAAGCCTAGCACAAAACATGTGCTAGCGGGGCCTCTACAGAAAATGTCTACCTTTTTTCTAGATACCTAGAAACTTATCGGTTATAACTTTGACCCCTAAGTTGGTCAGAATGTAGAAATTTTTGAAAAGGCTGGGGAATGTCTGAAAAGTGAAACAGAACTTGGGCTTACTCCAAAGGCTGGGGACAGGCCCTGGGCACTCACCCAACACGCCTGGGGGACTCACCAGTAGAAGTGCTCCTCCACCATCTTGGTCACTGCTCTGGAGATGGCTCTTTCATGAGGGCCAAGGTTTTTGTTTAAATTCACTCCAAGTTTCTCTTCCAGAAAGTCAATTATGAATTCTGTGCCAGAAACTTTTTCATGATTATATTCAATCCAAGGCATTTTCCCTTGAGCAGAAAGTTTTCCACCAAAATAATTCTAAGCAGAGTAAATTTTAAAAAGAGAAAAGCAATGTTTTATTTAAATTTCACTGTATGTTAACAGAAACAAACATTCCAACCCTATATTTGATAGTGACTATACTGTTCAAGTGAATGAACTCAGCACATAAACTCTTTAAGACAATAAATAGTTACTCTTGGAGAAATAAAAATACCTCACATGAAGATATTACTTTACTCCCATAGATTTTATCATGAGCTCTGGTATATTGTTACAAAAAAGACCAGAGAGGAGAAGTAGTGTTGAAATGGTCTTGGTAATAGTTGGTTTAGTTAAAAGGTTAAGAACAAGCCACAAATGCAAAACAGTGAAAATAAGCCATACTGGTGAGGCTACTAACCAAAGATCTCATCTGAAACCCAGCAGCTTATGCTTGAATAATACTTAATACCACTACATGGCAAACAAGTGGCCCCATAAATTATAACACTTAGGTGTAAGAAAGTGCATCCAACAGATTCAACTCTAGTGTTGATTAAAATGTAGATTCCTGGGCCCCAGCCCAGACCTCTGCATCAGAAGCCTGGGAATGGTGCCCAGAAATCTGTGTCTGTGCTAAGTTCCCCTTTGATTTACACCCATGCTAGAATCTTACGGTGTCTCAGAGGACATGGTCCCAGATGGAGTGGAATGGGGGTGTGGAGTCATACACTTTATGAACACTGGGAATTAGAGTGACATTTGCTGCCTCCACTCCTTGGCCAGGCACTACACATTCCCCTTGATGTGGACCAGAAGAAATGTTACAAACCTTGAAAAGTTGTTAGTACATCAGATATTCTTGTAATTTGTACACTAAAGATGTAAATTTACCATATAACATAGTACCTGTTTCAGATTAACTCTTGATATCACCCATATCATCCTAACAGATCCCTTTCAGGACTTTTGTCATTTGCAGATGGATTCTATCCTACACACTGACATCAGAGGAAACTGTTTGCAATGCAAATGAGATGCAAGATCTCTATGGCTCAAAATTATCCAGTGGTTTTTAATGGATCTATTCTAACCCCTTTCACATTCCAGTCTAGGTCTATACCACCTAGCCACTGCCCACCTAACTAGCCTCTTTGCTATCAATCTCTCCAGTCTTCTGAATTCCAACTGCACACATCCGAACACATCAAGGTCTTTGCCACCTCTCTGACTTTGTGCACTCTTTACTTTTTATAGGAATCTCTTTTCCCAACCTCTGCCAGGTCATATCCATCCTAAAATATTTAGTTCAAAGTTCACCTTGTTGGTGAACAATATTTCCTCAAGGTGCAACCATTACTTCCTTTCCTCCATGCTTTCATTGTACAGTGTATATTCCTCCCATCTTATAATATTACCATTGGTACCTTTGCCTTTCCCTCTAGGCCATGCCCCCGCCCTGACTATTTGGTACATTTTTATCTAGACTCCTTTTAAAAACTGGATTAACAAAAATTAATGATTGATTCTTATGGAAATGAAAGTTCTTGTAGGTTTTTGTCATAAAAATTTTTAGTTTTAGAGGCAGAAAAGGTATTTGACAAAATCCAACATCCATTCATGACAAAAATTCTCAATGAAGTGGGGATAGAGAGTATATACCTCAACTGAATAAAGGCTATATATGAAAAACCCACAGCTAACATCATACTCAATGGTGAAAAGCTGAAAGCTTTTCCTCTAAGATCAGGAACAAGACAAGGATGTCCACTCTTGCCACTTTTATTCAACATAGTACTGGAAATCCTAGCCACAGAAATCAGACAAGGAAAAGAAATAAAAAGCAACCAAACTGGTAAGAAGTAAAACTGTCATTATTTGTAGATGACATGATACTATATATAGAAAACCATAAAGGCTCCACCGAAAAATCTATTAGAATAAATGAATTCAGTAAAGTTGTAGAAGCATTAATATACAATTATCTGTTGTATTCCTATACATTAATAATGAACTAACAGAAAGAAATATTAAGAAAACAATCCAGGACACCTGGATGGCTCAGCGGTTGAGTGTCTGCCGTCAGCTCAGGGCATGATCCCAGGATCCAGGATCAAGTCCCACAATCGGGCTCCCTGTGAGAAGCCTGCTTCTCCCTCTGCCTATGTCTCTGCCTATGTCTTTGCCTCTCTCTCTGTGTCTCTCATAATAAATAAATAAATAATAAATAAATAAATAAATAAACAAATAAACAAATAAATCTTTTTTTTTAAAGAAAGAAAGAAAAAGAAAATCTCATTTACAACTGCATCAAAAAAGAAAAAAATACCTAGGAGTAAATTTAACCAAGGACATGAAAGACTAAAAATCTGAAAACTACAAGACACTGATGAAAGAAATTGAAGACAACACAAATAAATAGAAAGATATACCATAATCATGGATTGGAAGAATTAATTAATATTATTAAAATGTCAATACTACTCATAGCAATCTATAGATTCAACTCAATCCCTAACAAAATAATGTTAATATTTGTCAAATAACTAGAAGGAATAATCCTAATGTGTAGAGAACTATAAAAGACCCTGAACAGCCTAAAGCAATCTCAAGAAAGAAGAATGAATCTGGAGGTATCACACTCCCTGATTTCAAACTATACAATACTACAGTAATCAAAATAGTATGGGTACTGGCATAAAAATAGACACACTAATCAATGGAACAGAATAGAGTGATCAGAAATAAACCCATACTTAAATGGCCAACTAATCTACAAGAAAGAAGGTAAGAATATACAATGGAAAAAAGACAGTCTTTTCATTGAACGGTGCCTGGGAAACCTAGAGAGCTACATTAAAAGAATGCAACTAGAAAACTTTCTTATGCTACACACAAAAATAAACTCAAAATAGATTACATACCTAAATAGAAGACCTGAGACCATAAAACTTCTAAAAGAAAAGATAGGTAGTAATCTGTTGGACATCAACTTTAGCAGTATTTTTCTGGATCTGTTTCCTCAGGCAAGGGAAACAAAAGTGAAAATAAACAACTGGCACTACATCAAACTAGAAAGCTTTTGCACAGCAAAGGAAACCATCAGCAAAACAAAAGGGCTACCTACCAAATGGGAAAAAAATATTTGCATATGATATATCCAATAAGAAGTTAACATCCAAAATAAAGAACTCCTATAACTCAATACTAAAAAAAAATCTAATTTTTAAAAGGTCAGAGGACCTGCACAGGCATTTTTCCAAAGAAGACATACAGATGGCCAACAGATGCATGAAAAGATGCTCAACATCACTAATCGTCAGGGAAATACAAACTAAAACCACAATGAGATAGTATCTCACACCATCCAGAATCGTATAAAAAAAGTCAAGAAACAATAAATATTGGCAAGAATGTAGAAAAAAAGGAGACCTTCATGCACTGTTGGTGGGAATGTTAAATGTGCAACCACTATGGAAAATAGTATGTAAGTTCCTCAACAAGGGGCACCTGGATGGCACAGTTATGTGTCCAAATCTTGGTTTCAGCTCAGGTAGTGATCTCAGGGTCATGAGATTGAGCCCCCTGTTGGGCTCCACACTTTGTGTGGAGTCTGCTTGATTTTTTCTCTCCCTCTGCCCCTCCCACCATGTGCCTGCATGCCCACTCTCTCCCTCAAATAAATAATAAATCTTTACAAGAAAAAAAAAACATACAATCCAGTGATTCCTGTACTAGGTATTTACCTAAGGAAAACAAAACACTAATTTGAAGATATATGCACCCCATGTTTATTGCAGCATTATTTACAATAGCCAAGGTATGGAAGCAACCTAAGTGTCCAGCAATAAGCAAATGCACAAATAAGATATGGGATGGACAGACAGACAGGATGCAATATTACTCAGCCATAAAAAAGGATGGAATGTTGCCATTTGCAACAATATGGATAGACCTAGAGGGTATTATGCTAAATGAAATAAACCAGACAGAAAAGAAAAATACCATATCATGTGTGGAATCTAAAAAACCAACCAAACCAACCAACCAGAAACAGACTCATAAATACAGAAAACAAACTGGTGGTTGCCAGAGGGAAGAGATGTAGGGGTTAGGCAAAATAGGTGAAGGGGATTAACAGGTGCAAACTTCCAGTTATAAAATAAATCAATCATAGGGATGAAAAGTACAACATAGAGAGTATAGTCAATAATATTGTAATTATTTTGTATGGTAACAGATGGTAGCTACGCTTATTGTGGTGAGTACTTTGTAATCTATACAATTGTCAAATCAGGGACGCCTGGGTAGTTCAGTGGTTGAGCATCTGCCTTCAGCTCAGGGCATGATCCCAGGCCTGGGGATCAAGTCCCACACTGGGCTCCCCCCAAGGAGCCTGCTTCTCCTTCTACCTATGTCTCTGCCTCTCTCTGTGTGTCTCTTGTGAATAAATAAAATCTTTAAAAAGAAAAGTAGGAGACAACACTTTAGAGATACTATGATCATATCTAATTAAAATATTAGATAAATTTTTAAAAATATTTAAAAAAGAAACACAAAAACATCTGAAGTAATTGGCAATAGTATGAGATACAGATGATCTTTCCATGAATTTCAGTCTTTCAGAATTGGCTATATTACTGTTAAAATAAAAACATTATCTTTTAAAAATAATACTTAGTTTTCCTTAACTTCCTAAATATATTCAAGAGCTTCCTAAATATATTCAAGAACTCCTGGCCTATTTTACTTAAGCAATTGAAGTCTGACTGGTCCACTAACGGTGGTTTCTGAAAGTAATTTTGAGAAGAATCATGAAGAGATAAACCTTTATATTTTTTGTGAGCTGAAGTTTCCTCCTGCAAGTTTGTCCTAGGTGAAATTAATCTACACTTCCCCTATATTATTAACACAGCAGTGAAAGCCATGGGCTTTGGTTTTAAAAATCTCATTCCATCACTTATTCAGTGTGACCCTGGTCATCCCCGGATCTCCCTTATCATCCCTGGATCTCTCCTGGGCTTCATTTCCCTACAGAATGGGGATACAAGAGTTGT